CATTTTTTTTTTTTTTTTTTTTTTTTTTTTAAAAATTTTTTTTGGCATTTTTTAACGTACTAAATTTTAAAAATATTTTTTGAATTGATCACGTTAAGTTAAATAAGTATTTCTTGGGATAATTTTTACTGTCCTTAACATTTTGAAGATTCAAGTGTTATAGTAAGTTTTGTACATCTTTTTAGAAAAGGTTATAAACGCTCAACAAAACCTCGTGCAGCTTTGTATAGGTAGAAAATTCTTTAGTTGTGGGCTTAATCAAAAACAGTTCCAAATATGATTTGTTCTCCTTGCTTTGTATTCAACGTCACAGCTCGAATATGTTTTGTGGATTTTATGAATACTGTACGTTTAATGATTTGTTGGTTTAAAAATCCAAATTATGAAATACAAACTGTTTTTATTATTAACGTGGCATAACCTAAAAGTATTAATTTTGAGGATTTCAAAGTAGTTTGTAAAGATAAATTTATATTAATTATAAAGGCAACAAAGTATTCTTTATGACTGTGGGACATTAATTGCAGAAGAACCATCCAAAGCCCAAAACACCGGTGTTCTCGGAAAAGGTGGTAAGGCCTGGGCACCCAACCTTGTATTCTTATCATAGATTGTAAACATCTCTGTGTAGTTTAAATTACTTAAGATTTATTGTGATTTATATTATCAAGTAACTCGTTAACACAATGTCTATACAACAGGTAACTTGTATCAGAAAACAATTATTACAATTGATACTTTGTTCTGAGACAAGGTTGGCCCATGTATCTGATAATATATTTTTGTTGTGCCATCATTTAAGTTAGAATGTTTTGGTTTTACTTGATTTTGACTGATCATAAATGGATTACCAATATCATGCATCTTAAATTACAAGTTGTGAGCTAATTTGGGTGGTGTCTATAATTTCTGCTTTTCGTGTTGTTGATAGCCATATGTAATAGCTTTAAATACAGGTTTCAAGTAGTACAAAGCTATATTTATTTATGGATGGGTGGTTTTGAGTTGAAAAAGAAACAAACCAAACCGTTGCTCATTATACCAGCTTCATGTTTTATAATAATGTTTCATCACCAGATGTTTTTGATATTAGAAGCTCAGATGCTAAAATTTTATATTTGAACTGGCTCTATGTGGTTTAACAGTTTGTGTTAAACTTTGTATTTCGTTGTTGTTGTTTTTTAATTCTAACTTCATATAGCAAACATGATAGTTTGAAAAATGTTACTACTGGCTAAAATAGAAAACAAGTTTCTAATGTGCGTGTTAATGAAACTGTCAGAATAGAAATGATTGAATTTGGATTTAATGATAGTTTTTTTTTTTTTTTGACTAAGAATTAAAGCTTCACTCTAATGTCCTATTTTTCTTTGCTCTTGTTACAGTATTTGTGCATTTATTCTTGTTTTCTTGTGTTTTACTGTGAAAACTGGTTTGCTGTGTATTCGTGATTGTTTCATTGTTCTTATTCATTTGGTCCAAGTAGCCTTGGAATATTTTTTACCTTTTATAAGTGAAATTAATGTGTAATTATAACCTTTTTATTTATTTTTTATTTTTTTTCCTGCAGTTACTATCAAAATACTCTTATTGCTTTTAGGGCACTGCAGTGACCAGTGAATGAGCTGATTGTTACTAGGCTACTACAGAAAGGGTGTGCCCACACTTCAGAAATATTAATATGGCTATACAGGTCTCTTAGTAATCTTAAATGGAGCAGTACGTTCCTAGATCACCATAAATATACATAAACTGAATGATATTTATTTAATTGGTGGTAATATGTGAAGTCTAATATCTTAAATTTTAACGTTCCCAATTCTTCAATTTGGTTTAAGTATGATAACATGATTATCAGTATCTGGGATTGGCTTAAAAGAAAAACTTAAACTAAATCATTACTACAAGCTTTATCAGGTTTTTAAATTAGAACCTGTCCAAAAAGGGGGATGTGTATTTTAATGTTAATACATGTCATTAGATTGTTGAAACCTTTTTTTCACTTGGACAGCTTTGTACCATTAATTGTTTGTAGCTGGTAATATACATCAAAGTGAGAGAAGCATGTTAACCCTCAACTGGTAGTGTGGTCAGAATGACCCATGTCAAGTTTTTAATCGATATTCTAACTTGGCTAGAGCTGCTTTCTGTCTATACTTTTTTTTTCTTACTGTATCCATGATCAGTACTTGTGTGTTTAACATAATAAATGTGTTGTTGAAATTTTCTTTCTTACTGTTGTAAGTGTTTGTTTGTCATTTGTGGGTCATTCTGACCCCCCACCATTTTTTAAGTTTATTACCCATGTTGACCCAACCTACCACTTATGATACAAATATTTACCCTACCAGTTGAGGGTTAAAACAAGAAATGTTAAGAGAGGATTTTGTAGTTGATAGTTTTGAATTGTCAGTTTCAAACAAAACATTTCCAAAAGAAATAATTGGGTTAAGCAGTTATGAATGTCGAGCGAGACCAGAGAAAGTTGAAATTTTCTGCTGGCCAGCATGTTTGGATGAAGGTTTAATTCTGCATATCAGAACTCCAGGGTTCTAGAAATTTAAGTATGGGTCCTGGAATGCTTGGGAACTTTTTAAAGTTACTGTGACCCACTTTATATCTCTATTTGGTGTTATCTTGTTTATTAAGAAATATATTGTACGCTGGCATAGAAAGTGGCTTAATATCTTGGAAATATCAAATTTTGAAGTATGTTACCAAAGATATTAAACTCTTAATAAAATGATTCCATCATTGAAAGTATCCTAACATTCAAACTCAAAGCATGTTTTTTAATGTTTATTTATACATCAGTGATACTACTATTAATATAAATAACTAATTTTTTTTGTATATCAAAAAGTACGTTTTTAATTTACGTTCTTGGGAAGAAGATATTCTAACCCTGAGTATCCCAGTTTTATGTTTTGCTACACAGGTTTATATACAAACAAAATATTTTAATGAATTGCTTGTGCTCTTGAGAAGGTTGAGATATTTTGACTTGTGAAAATTAATGAGGTTGTGTTTACTTGAAATTTGAGCTTGTTAGATAACTATTTCAAAACACTTCTGCACTAATATTGTAAATATCCCACAATACTATTCTTAATCACTTGGACGTAACATTGGTATTTCAAACATGTTTTTAGTATTGATAATATTTATGTAATTCAGTTAACTGTTCTGTTGTTTTTTGTAAGAGAAGGGGGGTTGTGTTACTTGTGCAAACATTCCCAATTATTGGAGTTTTGTCATTCCTTTGTACTTCACCACAAGTATGTTAATATCTCAGAATGCATAGTTTTGATGAAGAGAAAAGGTATCTTTAAGATCGGTGTTTGGCCCTCTAACAGACTTGAAAGGATACTCAAAATCTGACAGAAAAGTTTATGGTGTCAAAAATTCTAAACTGATGACCATCCAATTTAAATTTACAGAAGTTATTTCATGCTCACACAATTAGTAGGTTTGAAGTCATTAGACTAGTTTCTTCCATTATCTAGATAACTGGACTTTACTTGGTGGTCAACATTATAGTGTGGGTTTGGTAGTTCAGAGGCAATATGTCTTTGAGTTATGGTGTGTAAAAAGTGTAAAAAAGATGACAGTTAACACGTTCGATTTTTATTCAATTTACTTTGCAACCCTTTCAAAAATCTTACATTCTATAATTGGTAAAATTAAAATTTAGTTTGATCTCGTTTCAGTTGCTAAAAACAATTCTTATTAATTATGTGACAGTTTTTGGGGGGGGTAACTCATTCCCACTTCATTTTTGTGTGCAACTGATAATTGTGTATGTAGGTTTTTGGGACTGAATGTCCATCTTATAGGCACCTTTTCTTCCACGAGCTGGATATTTTCATACATAAGACACTATATTAAGTAGTGAGTTGACTGCCGAGCTCCTCTGCATAAGTTGTGGGCTTGGTCAGTTCATATTCTGAAGAAAGTTCGTATTGTAATGAAACTAGAATTTTTTTTTTTTAAATCTTAGTGCACTCTGTTTTTAATACACAGTACCATCTGTTATTATTCATGACTTGTGATTTATATTTTTGCAATTATGATTTTTGTTTCTGTTTATCATGATTGCTTCGTTTTCTCTTTCAGAATCAATTGATCATAATGTTTAAAGATCTTGTGTAGGTTTAGAAGTTTTAAATCGTTGTACTGATTGTTAGGTCAGCACTTGTTACATGACTTGCCATAAGCTGTGCGTTTAACCTATTTCCTTTTAAATGTTTTACGATCTGTATGATTCTGTTAAACCCACGTCGCCCAAAAATATTCTGCCTGATTATGTTGTCAGATACCATGTTTTAGGTACTACTTGTGTTCATGTTGGTAGAATGCATTTCTCATGTGCCTACTAGTTAGAATCATGATTGAACAGTTGATCTCATTGATTTGCGGGGGCATTTTGTGACAAGGGGTGTCATTGGTTGATTTTTTTTTTTATTGTATGTTCATAAATATTGGACTGACCACTACAATGTCTTGTTACATTTGTAGTTTAAACCCTGTGTCACGCCGAGCTGTCTTTTGGGGACACCCCGCGTCATGGGATCCAGTCTAGTCCAGGTAAGGTAACATGAAATTTGGGAAATGTGCTGAATCACCTGAGAAATGTTTTGTTTTGTTTTTTGTTTTCAAAAATTTCAGTTGTCATTATCCTAATGCATTAAAAGACGTATAACTGGTATTGAATTTTTTCAGCATCTAGGCAATACCATTAAAAAAAAATTTAGGAAGAGAAGTTTCTTTATAATGTTTTAACGTCACTCATATTGATGGTCTATGAAATCACTTGGAAACTTACTCAGTGAGTTAATTCATTGATTCGTTTTTGCTAGGCATGTGATTTTAATAAATTTATGACGTATACCTGCTAGGACAGTAAGTTTATCAGGTTCCTTGACAACTGCAGATAAACACGTTATTGTGTAGGAAAGTAAGTATATCAGGTTCCTTGACAACTGCAGATAAACACGTTATTGTGTAGGAAAGTAAGCATATCAGGTTCCTTGACAACTGCAGATAAACACGTTATTGTGTAGGAAAGTAAGTATATCAGGTTCCTTGACAACTGCAGATAAACACGTTATTGTGTAGGATAGTAAGTATATCCGGTTCCTTGACAACTGTAGATAAACACGTTATTGTGTAGGATAGTAAGTATATCCGGTTCCTTGACAACTGTAGATAAACACGTTATTGTGTAGGATAGTAAGTATATCCGGTTCCTTGACAACCTGTAGATAAACACGTTATTGTGCACATTTTTGACTCAGTTTTTGAAATATGCAGATTTTTTTTTTTTTTACAAAACCATGTTAGCATGATTACATTCATTGAAAGGAATTTATATAATAGCTTCAATGATACTTGTGTGTTGAAGCACATAATGGTAAACTGACAAACAACAAGTTATAAGTAAGCATAGTAAAGTTATATTATTTCGGGGAACCTGTTTGAACAGAACATTGGTCTGTCAAAGTATACAATATGTTCCTCAGAATAAAAACCACTTTATTATACTTCAAAACTTCTAACAATTTACTGTGATATAATTCACATTGAAGGTTCTTGTATCTTGGAAGCTAGTATAGTAAATGATCAAATACTGTGATAGTGTAGGTTAATTTGGTTTGTTTTTTTTAAAAATTGGTTCTTGATTTTAGAGATGTATTATCATTATCTGGATCTTGTAATTGTAATGCTTTATCATAGAAAAGTAGTTGCAGGTAAGAATATCTTTATAATCAACCTGGATTTCATATTTACTATTTCGTAAGATCTGTTGCATAACCTGTTTCCACTGTCTGAATGTTACACTTTTAACGATAGGATGGCTAACTTTGATTATTTTGAATATTAATTTTTAAAATTTAGATTTGATTTCTAACATAGAAAGGTGTAAAGCTTACTTAGACTTGATATTTCAAAGTTCTCTGATCCATGAAATGTCTTTACAGTGGACTTAAATTTTCTATATGGGCAGTTTTATTTTGGTATTTTAAGAAATAAGTTATTAGAAATATTAGTATTGAGTTTCAGTAGATTTTTTTTCCTCATGTTCGAATCAGTTTCTTGTATTTAACATTGTAGTAACTTGTATACAGCGTACAATTTTATTTTTAATTGTACATCTGATTGAGAACACATCTATAAACAAATTGGTGATAAGTATGAACAATGGTTAGGAGTAAATCGTATTGTTTCACCTGTATGAAGTTGTAGTGAAAACATTGGTCTACTTTCTATGGCACTTTCATAGCGCAGTATAATCAGTACAAATTCGGAAATTATTTTAAACAGATCTGAAGGAGCTCTTAAAAATATATAATTACAATGTTTAAACCAACTATAAAAAAAATAGGCCATCGTTAAGCACTATTAGCCAAACTCGAAAAGGTCTTGGTAGGGGAACGGTGTATAATTTGGACAGTAATAATGACAGACTACACAGTAGAAACCGTATTGTACCTTCTGCAACTCTAATGGTGGAGTATTGGTATGTCGTGTTATTAATTGTTATCCCAGTTGAGTTGAAAGTGACATAAATGGAATTTATAAGTTACAGCTCGCTTAACATATTTCACCCCAATAAGTTATGCTGTACATGAAATTGATGATGTAAAAAAAAAAAGCGTCTCGACCACTACTGTCTGTCGTGTCCTAGCCGGTCTGATGACCCCCTGTTATTGAACGAAAGACCTTTTTGGCCCTGGATATGGCAGATGTTGTGTGGTTGCCATTTTATTCGTTGCTTGCACTCGTGTAAGTTTTTATAATTTGTGTGTTCTTGTGAATAATTGACCGAATTGAACTTTATATGTATTACACACAATAAGACTGGACTAGTGTGATAACTATAAACCTTATTTTGGTGTCATATGACACAAATTATCAAACAATGGATAATGCTTTTTCAGCTTAGACACTATACATCATAATAAGATGATGCAAGCATTGTATACAGTTTGGACTTTCTTGCAGCGACATCTGTTATTAGTTTAATGTTTCGGATTTATTAATTTAGATCAGTGATAGTGGTTCGAGGGCTACTGGTGGTCCGCGGGCTGGTCCAAAATGCAAGTCACATACGCGCAACGCCACGGCCGAAGCCATACGAGAGAATAGAACAGGTGGGGTAGGACCGATAGGTGGTCCGAGAACGAAGAAGTTTGATAACCACTACTGATTCTTTTTAGTATGTGCAATGCTTATTACTGATGGCTTTGTTGTTAATTTTCATTAGCAAAATTCCTGTACAGGGCTTGTTTAGATTTGTATAACTTGATGATTCTGTTACTCCGTTTAGAAATACGGCTATAACCACGAGGTTTGGTATCAAAGTTTTCTCGTGTAAACAAGTATCACTTGCTTCACAGACGACGTTTTCCAGCATTGTTTAGTTTCGGGTAAATACTACTAATTCGTTTTCTTTAGAGCTGTTTCAACACGTTATTGTAAGTAATGTACCAGGCATTACTTGGAGACTCAAAGATGGTATAATAAACTGTGTATTTTAAACATTGGATATATGTATCAAGTTTCTTTCTTAAAAAGGTTTGTCGATGCGACGTAAGTTGGACAGCAGATGTGTCGTTTCCAGACCACAAGAGAACATTAAAAGTAATTATATACAGTGTTTTTTCGTTTCAACTCGGTTAATTTAAAAGAATTATGAAGTTTGTTTGAGGAGGGAACACAAGAACAGGATAAAAGCGTTGCTTTTTCTATAACTGATGGTAAATTTTGAAATTAAAATCAAACGTCTACTGGTTTGCATAATTCTACGTTGTTTTTAGGACAAGAATTGGTTGCCTTGTTCAATTAATATACATATGCAAGGTGGTGTAAAGAAAATTAAATTTTACTGGTTGAACTTTGCATATGTAAACATTTGAGTAAATCCAAATAAAGCGATTACATATCATCCACATTATAAACATGCACGAATTCTGTAACATTCAATGCATGTTACATCTACTCAAGACTAACAGTTTATTCATCAAAATTGTCAATATTGTTTTGTACGTGGTAATTTAAACAGTATAATCCAGTCAATTTACTGTTGGAGCAGAACACACTGTATCAAAGGTCTGGGTGCATATTGAAGAGAAAAAAAAAACAGTACCTGAAATTTTTTTATTCCCATTTCATGTTATTTTGCATAATGTGTTAATGGGTATATGAAGAACTAAAATTCTTCAGAACGCATTGGTAGCTGAAGACATCTTTAAAGGATGAATAAAGTTCCGTACCTTGGTTCATCTGGTCGCCCATCTTGTACAGTAAGTCCTCGCTTATATCTACAGAAGTTTACAAACTGGATATTGCTCGGAAGAGTAAACGTCTTGAACAGAACTTTGATCCTGGATAAGTTATTAGAATTATAAAATACGTAGAATTATTGGGAGTTTCAAACAACTTGAATGAAAGTGTTTTTTGTTTGTTTGTTTGTTTTTTCCGTGGTGTGGGTGATTTGTATACAAATGAGTATTCTAGGTTTTAATCTGAAGGAACAGTTAATTGTCAGTAATATGTAACTGAAGACAAATCTTGATACTTGGTTTGAACGAGATTTAGTGGACAACTGTTCGACCAAGCTTCGAGTCTTTGTGCAACCAGAAACACGCTTTACATTTTCAGTTGCGGGTGTGTTTCCGATTTATGTGGCGAGTACTTGCCGACTGGTTACGTCTTATCTATTTCGTACTTCAAAAGAAAAGTTTGTATTTTAAAAAATTCGTGGCTTTGCACATCAGGTAGCCTTAGGATGAAAAAACAACCAATTTGGCGAGAATTGTCGCGGTGCGTTGTGCGATTTTTCTCTCTTCTTTTTTTTTTTTTTTTTTTTTTTAATATATAGAGCTTAATATAACATCAATAGTTTTCACATTTTCGAGAAGAAGAAAAAAACAATATACATTTCAATAATTCGCAGTGAGAAATAAAATAAAGACCATACAATTGATTTGTAGTATAGAGGAATTTATTCAAATAGTAACACATACTGTGCGACATCTAGTGGTCAACGAAATGGATATTACCACTATTCTAGGATTTGTATAAAAAAAGTTACTTAGCGTAGAAAATGATTACGATAATGGTATATATTTATAGTAGTGCAACAAAATTAATAACTGAATGTAATACTGGGAAAGGTTATCGGGCTTCTTGAAATTCTCCATTACATACTTAGTGTCCTTATTTTATATGACACGTTATAATAATATAAAACTGATAATACAAATTTTGTTAATTCGTAAAACGAACAAGATTTTAAATTGTGTTAAACTAATAGGACGAGGGTTGTTATGGTAATGTTCTTATCAATGTAATGTGACAGGGCGTATATTAACGTTTGTTCTGTGGATCTTCGGGTGATTAAGCGTCAGTAACTCTCGAAACTTGATGCCTTTATTTTAAGATTGTTGAATTTATATACAGAACAAGTAGAAAAGGAGCACGATAGTTTTTGGATAATTAGTCTGGGTGTATCTACTTGTATAAAGGTTTGTATGCACACCAAAAATAAAACAAAAGAATCGAGAAAACAGTCCACTCTCGCAAAGCGAGTGTGACTGGAGTTATTTGGGAAACTTGGATTTCGTTTGTCGAAATGGAGTTAAGCTCGCGCATTGTGCAAGAGAGAATCTACAAGAAAATATTTATGGGCTGAAATTAATGGCCAAACAAATTCATAAAAAATAAAATAATATTTAATATACATTTTTATGAAAATAGTAACAGAATAACAATCACCATACTATATCGTTTAGATAAAACACTTCAAAATTTCTATCGGATATTCAGAGTTCGCACTAACTTCAGTTCTAATTGCAAACTGACAAAACTATCAGTAACTATTTTTCTAATGCTACGTTAAAATAACATATAGTTCTATTTAAAGAAGTATCTTTTGGCGAGTTATATAAAAATCGGCACCAACATTGGAACGTTTCTACTGAGTGTATCTAATGCAAAACGGTTCACATCTGAATACGTATCCATAGCTACTGAACTCTACTGCTTTGAGTAATGTTACATTTTCACACCAATCAATAGTGTAGAATTTTATGTCTGGGTATATAAAATGGCTCTGATGTAGTTTAATAGTAAACTAATTTTTTATACCGTTTCCATGCCTTGCGTGTTTCGGATTTTGGTTGAAGGTGGTGTTGACTAACTGCGTTCCCCTCTAGTTTGTCACTTCAAAATTAGCGACGTCTAGCACAGAAAGCCCTTCAGTAGCTTTGCGAGAAATTCGACAACCAACCATATACTTTCATTATGAAAGCTTACACACAAAAGTAATTTCTATATTCAAAGGTGGATGTGGTTATTTGAAAAATATGTAAATGCCACTTTGTCAATTAGGATTATAACATATAAGTCGGGTGCTGCGTATATCCTTATAGGATTTAAACAAATTGGATGACTACTTACGTCTTACAAATTAGGAGATGTAGCAAAAATAATTAATCTGCAACACCCTGGATAATGTTAAGTATCCGTCTAACATTCAACTTTGCATGACAGTGGACGCTCACTTGGTAGAAGTATGGCTATTAAATTCAGTTTTTCGATTGTCTGTTCAAAAATATCTTTCATTAGATTCGATTTTCAGATAAGGAAAAACTAGGTTCCTTTGAATGGTGACTGGTCAAGATAAAAACGTTTAGACGACTTTTTTAAGTATAACGTTAAATTGTGTCTCAAATGGCCAAATCGTTCAACAACGGCCAAGAAGGTTTTACTATTATTTAATAGTTTAGTTTAGAGAATGGTACAGCCTAGATGGACCAATAGGTCCATTGTTGTCCTGAAATATTATGTTAGAATGCAACGCCTCCAAGTGGCACAACAGTAAGTCTCGGGACTTATAACGCTAAAATCCAGGTTTTTATACCCGTTGTGGGCACAGCACAAATAGCCCATTGTGTGTGTAGCTTTGTGCTTAACAACAATCTTACTTTTGTCGTGCAATCATAGATAATGCAATACTTATCCCCATAAAATATTTGCATTAGATATGCAATGTATCTATTCTACTTTCTTTATAAAAAGCTCTATTTCTAAAATATGATATACGTTTTTTTTAAAAGCCTCCCGATGGGTAGGTGGTAAGTTTACGGACTTACAACACTAAAATTCGGGGTCCGATTTACCGCGGTGGACACGGCCGATAGCCCACTATGTGTTTGCTCTAAAGTCTAAATCAAACAAACAAGATCTGACTACCTTGAACAGTACGTTGCTAGGGGCAATTACGAAACAAAACTGTCATATGGAAGCTGTAAAACCATCTTGGAGGGAAAAAAACCCATCTCAGATGTAATACTAATGTATGGTTTAAATCGTGCTTTAAGCGTAAACAGTAGATGATGGTTGACTAGAAGCGTTTGTTGTGTCCTGATTAGTTAACTTACACTCCTTTTTGCTTTTTCTTCCTGTCAGATTGTTCACAAAACCTCCAAGAAACTTGACCCTTATAGTATTTTGGCACTTGTGTGTAAAGTTAAAATCATAAATAATATTCAACGTTAAACTGGTATATGATTTTATTTAGGCCTATCTATGGCCTTCAAAAAGTTGACGACTCTACATGTTTCGAGGATGACGTTGTAACGTCGAAACATGTAGAGTCGTCAACTTTGTGAAGGCCATAGATAGGCCTAAATAAAATTGTGTACCAGTTTAACGTTGAATATATTTGTGATTTTAAACTTGACCCTGTTTGAGTTGTTCCGCTGGAGATGGTGCAGATATTTTTGTAATATTCTTCCATATGAGTAGGGTTCTTTGATTCCTTTAAAAGGGGTGAATAATGTTAAGTGTATCCGATTGTTTTACGCTTATTATTTTTCTTCCCACGATGTTGCATTTCCATTCTGATGGACAAATGCCCTTCCAAAACGATAATGAAATAATCCATCGCTTGCTATTTTCCCAAATACTTTGAAAGAGCATCACATTTATCGTCTTCCTGTAGCAATACATGGTGATGACTAGCTGCCTTCCCTCTAGTCTTTCACTGCTAAATTAGGGACGGCTAGCATATGGGGGGTACAATAGTGATGGAAATAGTTCATTAATTGGTTATTGCAACTAATATGTTTCTCCATAATGTTTGTGACATAAATTTGTAAAAAGTTAAATTTCGAAAGTAATTGAATGCTTAGCAAGTTTGTTTGTTTTAATAAGTAGGGCCAACATTATCCTAAAAATCAACCAACAAAGTGTAATGTTCTTGGAGTATTTATATTATTTAAGGAGTGAAAAACTTAAAGGAATGTTAAACAAAATTATACTTGATTTTAACTGAAAAGTTAATTAAATTTGCTCTAAAAGGCTATAATAAGTTACACCAAAATAATAATCCAATTTGTTATGGAGATCCAAATCAAATACTGGTATTAAATAAACTATTTTTCCTTGAAGTAACACTTGGTTCATGTTATTTTACATCATGCCAAGACATACAAGTCGTCAGCACATACTTTGGCACCTTCGATATTTGATATGCACTGTGTTCTGATTTTAATATTTCGAAGTGAGCACTTAACACTTCAGATTAAAAGGAAGGATTTTGGTTTAGTGTTCAGTTAAATGTTAAAGTTTCTTCTTAACATATTGAATAACGGTAGTCTAAGCCTAGTTCTTCAAATCAATTCAGACAGTAGAATAACACCACTGAAGTTCTATACATTAGTCTTTCCATGCAAGTTCTTTTGACTTGCGCTTCGTATTCAGTGACGTTTATCTGTGTGGTTGGCACCATTGAAACAAAATGACACGTTTCAAATTACCCATTTCATAGTCTGTTAGATGTTTTCCTCAAAATTACCTTTTCCAGACCAGCAAAGGGAAACTCGAAGAACAATGACGAAATGAAAGCTAATATAAAGGTGAAGACCAGATTTCCAAAGATTAGGTACATCTGGAAATTAAAAAAAAAGACCGTCAATTCATTGTATTGATAGGATTTGAAATGTTATCGAGCTTGCTCTAGAAGGATTACTACCAACAATGTCAACAGAATGAATTAAAGTCTATTAAAACTTCAGCTGTGATTAACGATGTGATCTTACCATATAGCTGTAAGTTGCGTCAACAGTTAATTCTTGTACACCGTAGAGGGCTGCCATGGCAACAGGGTGGATGAGATAAGCAGAATACGTGAGACGACTGAAAGGTATGAATGCCTTCCAGGATAAGAAAGTGGTGATAAAACCTGTATCAGAGATAATACAAATATTTCTAAAATTGCTCACACACTTCCTCAATTATAAACAAACATTTTCATTCATAGCAACATCTCTTGAATTAAATATCTAAACACTTTCCGTCTCTCTTCTACGTGACATTATTTTCACACACTTTTTCATCTTGTATATATATATGTATATATAACTGAATGCACGGTGAGATATTTCTACGGTAAAAATGTACAGAATACTCCAAGATTTTTATTTATTTTTTGTATAAGCACGTGAGTTGAGTTCACTGGCTCTGCGTTTTGAACACGTGGCTGAATGGTTGCGAGTTCTAAGCTGGCGCGCGCCATGTTGTTGTGTTCTTAAGCAAGACTCTTTATTCCATTGTTTCAGTCTACCCAGCTGTTAACTGGAGTTTACCTGAGTAGAACTGCCATCCTGTCCAGGTAGAACTTTGTCAGCCAATTAAGGAGAGCTAGTCACCGGATCCTATGTGCCATCTCAGCATTGGAGGGATTTGACCTAGACCTAATTTCACTGAATATAAAGTTCCACGTTACAAGTGTTTGGAACTTTTCTAAAGATTATTCATTTCTTCAATATAAATTGGTGCACAACTGAATTGACATCAAACTTAATACTCACCTCCATAACCAGCTGTACATGCAAAGGTCAACCAGGCAAGTCCCACAGCCCAAGCTGTTCGTGCTAGAGCACTGTACATAGCAGATGTCAAGTTGGAGGGAAGTTTTCCTTCATAAGCCGGCCACATTCCGTAAAGAACTAACATATTGCACACAACTGCCAAAGACCATCCGAGTACTGTATACCTCTAGATGAAACATTAACAACATATATATTTAACTGATCCTTTTTTGTTGTTGTTTACTAACGTGTGTTTAAGCTTAGTTGTCTATAATAATCTTACGCTTATATAAATATGGTTTAGTTAACGTATGATTTAGAAAGTTAATTTTAAACTTACTTTAACAAAAGTATGGTATCAGTATGAACGAGGTTTGTTTTTCATACTTTGTGGTTGGCCCTCTATTGGAGGAGATATGGCTAAGCAACGCTTTTAGCTGAAAAATCTTAAGAAACTTCATTGCCAATCGTTGAATAAAAATGTTACGATGAAGTAAGTTATATATCCAGGTAATGTATCACGTGCATGCTACTGAAACAGGCGTGTTTTAGTCGTGAAGCTGGGACTTGATATAAAAAATTTAAAAAGACAGTTATTATTCTTTCTTTTTTTTTGAGCTTGTAATTTGTGACATAATCAAATAAATAATTGATGTAAATTCAACTGTATGTCCATTGAATGCACTGGCAATTGTCTTTTGGAAACTTTGTACTATTTATAAGATACTTTTAACTAAAAAAATTTTACAATCGAGGGTCGAAACGCAAATTTAAAGGAAAAATCATCAGAATATGGTACAACGAGTTCCATATGTTTCAAATACTAATACCTTAACAGTAGGATGTTTAGATAAAGATATCAATTTTTAAACACAGAAGAAAAATAACTGTCGTGTTTGAGTACCAAACAAACTTTTTTTAAATTCATCATAAATATGAAATTAAAAATAAAACAAAATAAACGAACAGATGTTTTCTATAAACTTTAAGGTTTATCCGGTACTGCACAAACCTAAAAGAACAGAAACCTAGCAACAAAAAATCTCTAATGCAGAATAATTATTGTAAGAAATTAATCAGAAACATAATAAAATTCATCCATTCTCAACCGCCCCCTAGTGGCACAGCGGTATGTCTGCGGACTTACAACGCTAGAAACCAGGTTTCAATACCCGTGGTGGGAAGAGCACAGATTGTTTGTTTGTTTTTGAATTTCGCGCAAAGCCACACGAAAGCTATCTGCGCTAGCCGTCCCTAATTTAGCAGTGTAAGGCAGCTAGTCATCACCACCCACCGCCAACTCTTGGACTACTCTTTAACCAACGAATAGTGGGATTGACCATCACATTATAACGCCCCCACGGCTGAAAGGGCGAGCATGTTTGGTGGGACAGGGATTCGAACCCGTGACCCTCAGATTGCTAGTCGAGCGCCTTATCCACCTGGCCATGCCGGGCCTAGAGCAGAGATAGCCCATTGTGTAGCTTTGTGCTTAACTTCAAACAAACCATTCTCAACTAAACTTACAGACAAGGATAAAATTATTACCATATGCACCAAAAATATTGGAGAAAACTAAAACGTCTATTTAACAAATACAGCATCTTTTAAAGTTGAAGTGAAAGTTGTGTACTTTTTAGATACCACGATTATTAAATGAAACCAACGTTTATTAGTACACAATAAATATTTAAAAATGAGACTGTTCCCAGTCTCAAAATACAACAAAACATTTACTCAGCAATTTACTGCATGAAGATAAAAACATTAAGACTGAGTAAAATATCATACGTGCAGATGTTTTAAGTAATTTACTTTGTCTTACTGCGTTAACTCTACAAAGTAAATTATTGAGTAAATGTTTTAATTGTATTTTGAAACTGAGGACTGTTTCAGTTATAAATGTTGTTTGTGTACTAATAAAGGTTGGTTTATTTTAATAACTGTGGTATGCAACATATCAATTATAATAATACTCACTTTTTGTCTGTACTGAAAATACGCGCCCTCTTCATTTCAATGAGTGTAAAAAAAGGCGAATATAAATATACTTCAGCAAACATTTTATACATTTTATTAAAAGCTTATCAAAGTTTTATATATGGTCTAAAGTTGTGTCGTAGAATAACATTCTACGTTTATATAGTGAGGATATTAAATACGGCAAAGCTTAGCCCTAACTAAACTAAATCAAAAAACGTGCACACGTTACAGTGTTAATATATATTTTCATCGAATATAGGCTTAACTAATATTAGGCCTAGGACTATAGACTTGTAGATTTCGGTGTCTGCAATTAGAATTGTTTTATAGTATTTTGAAATGGAAAGTTCTAATACATCAACTTAATACTTGGCATTCGTTTGCTTCCTGTTAAGTTAGGTAACTGGAAGTAAAATCTATCATGGTTTTAGCCCGAATTTAATAAACTAATATTGCAATAATGATACTAATTTGACTAAAAATAGTTTGCGGGTCTCTGCTAGTACAGGCTGAAGAACCATGTTCAAATACAAATACTTTCTTAACCTACACACTTTTGAGCTATTGAAAAAACTCTTCCTTAATGTGCCTGTGAGTTTGCTTTTTTTTTGTATACGATAGTACCTTCCATACTTAAACTACATTAATACAATATAAGCACTATGCATAAATCTCTTCCGCGTCTTAAAAATATTCTTACTCTGGTTTATGACACTAAATGTGAATGCCCGAAATGTTATATTGAGGGAATCAAGACACCTGTTCATAATCGAATGTCTGAACACCAAAGAGATATTAGTTTTTGTACTTTGTATTGATGGCAAAACTACTAGCGCCATCTGTTGCCAACCTTAATTTTGAACTACTAACCAGAGAAAAGACAGTCGGTCAGCAGCAATCTCTCATGTACCATCCACGCAAATGGATTGACTGTCACTCATATAACGCATTCACAGCTTAAAGTGCGGGGAATATTTTGTGATTATCGCACAGATTCGAACCAGGCTCACCAGCTTCTAAATCCAGAGATATCAGTTTATTATCTAAATCAAAGTCACATTGAGCTATCTGCTGTGTCCACAGCGGAAAATCGAACTCCGGACTTTTAGAGTTGTACGTCTTTAAACTTACCGCTGTCCCACCCGGAGGACCCAGATATATCAGAAATTATAATACGGATATATCAGCGGTCGCCAAACATACTAGGGGAAAACAAGCATATCGTCAACTTATAAAACAAAAAATCGTGGACAGAGATTGTAATATCAAGACAAGAAACATAAAAGAGGCCATTGTCATCACAGCACATGCTTTTGGCCCCTCCAATGGAATAAATAAATATGAGGGCCATCCAATAAACATCAAACATATATCTTACTACCTTTATTCAAAATAATAATATATTGTCCAAAAGATAATTTACACACATATATATATATAATTTACACATATATATATTCATAATGCATGTTAACCCTTAATTTTAGAGGATGCTACCGTTCTAAAAGTGTTTCTTTTATATTTTTTATACAAATTTAATATTTTAGAAAAGTTCATGATTATAACGTTATATTTTAAATACACTAGGTCGCGCCACTTTACATCTTTCAAATTTGCTCTAGACATTTATTTATCTAACTAAATAAAGTTTCGTTTTTCAGCTACATAAAGTAAAATTCTTCCATGCAGTAGTTTTACTTACATTAAATATCTAACTTTGTATGTAAATCTCTAAAAAAACTGTTTTAAAGGGACACATTACCGTTTTCAGCACAACTTTTCTTCCTGTCCTAAATAATATGTATCCTAATGCCATACCCACTAGGTAAGGACCCATTCTACAGTATGGTTTGATGTACACCATAGAGGAGTAGCTGTTAAACACGGTTTCAGGGCTGGAAAATAAATTTGTTTAGTCATTAGAACTAAAAACAGTGCATGACAGTTCGATTACTGCAAATAGTCCGTATTGTGTTAGAAATAATAGTTGTTGTTTTTCTTAATAAAGATATTTGAGAGATATCCAGTGATAACATGGATTACTAAAATTTTCCCGCTATGATTTGAATATTGTTCACCACGAATATAATGAACTTTAAGCGTCCGAGTCAACTGAATATTTTATTAACCGACGTTTCTCTTTCAAGGCGTGTGATGATTCGTCCAGCTATCGAAATTGAATACCAATAGCTTTGTCATATTTAAAATACTGAACCGACTTGTAGCAATCAATATCCTAATTAAAACATTTGTACTTAAGTGTCCAGTTGTGGCCTATAGTTATTATGACATATGTAGCCAATCAAAAACGCGCGTGTATATTTACAGAATTGGAAATGGTTATGAAAACAATGAGTAAATGAGTTCAGTCGCCTCGAACTTCCGACTAATGAAAAATTAAAAAATCAATCGGATGACTCGTTAAAAAATATATGTTTGCAACTAATTCATAGTGACGACAGCAGTTCTAGTCGTTTCGTATAAACATATTGTTTTGTAATGTTTAATGTTATTAACCGCAAAGCCACACAATGGGTTATCTGTACTCTGCCCACCATGGTTGTCGAAACCCGACTTTTAGTATCATAAGCCTTTCAGATTTATCGCCGAGCCATTGGAGGAAGTCGTAATTTTTCATTAACATGTTCTTGGAGTTTGTTCTTTCATAAATATTTCCTCGGCTATTTAACAAAGAGAAATCGTTGTCTTTATATTCATTAAAAAATTCTGCCATTATTTTATATTTGCTACAAGTATTACGATTAATATTTTTATATGACCTACCCGTCGCTTGTGTTTAAGTATTGCTCAAACTGTAGTTAGCAAATAGTGTCGAATTCTCTTTTACGAAGTTCAGTTCTGAGGCCCCCACAAGTCTTTAATAAGGCCCTGCTGTAGAAATCAAAATTTGGTTGGTGAAAGCTACTCCATACGACAGGTTGATGTGAAATTTCATATTTCAGTTGGAGTCCTATTTACTAGTTTATCACGTAACCTCTTCAGAATTTTGTTTATCACGTAACCTCTTCAGAATTTTAACAATACTAGTTTATCACGTAACCTCTTCAGAATTTTAACAATACTAGTTTATCACGTAACCTCTTCAGAATTTTTAACAATACTAGTTTATCACGTAACATCTTCAGAATTTTAACAATAGTATTGTTAACATTTTGAAGAGACTACGTGATAAACTAGTATTGTTAAAATTTTGAAGAGGTTACGTGATAAACTAGTATTGTGGCTAATATTAAGAGTTGAGTACGTTATGTTAAAGATATATATATATATATATATCAGCTGTGAAACGATGTGTATCACAACTAAAATTTGATCACTTTTAGGAAGAATTTATAACAGTTCTTTCCAATACAAAATTTTCAGGTTATAATTCATAAAGATCAAGGTTCATAATTTTCAATATTTTTTTAACCCTTGTATTTAATGACATTGAAAAACAAACGAATATGGATCAACTTGAGGGCCCAGAAGACCTGTAACCATGGTAAGCAAAGTGAGGCGTCTTGTGACAGGTTAGATTCCACGAACACTAAGGGAAATGGACAAATCTCTCTACTGTTATTGTTTTGTACACAAGATAGACTATGAATAGCTTGGAGAGACTAGTGGACATTGTAGCCTTATTACGGATTCTTTTACAATGGAACTGCGCTGCAGAGCTATTGTTAAGGTGCACGATTTTCTGACAGGATGGCTGGACGTGGCTACATGGACTGTAATGACATGGTGAGTCCCCAGAATTGTTTGAATGAAACGTACTCAACTCCTGTAAAAGTGGTTGGGGGTAGAAATCCCAAACTCTTCAAATGTGACGTTAAGTAAATGAGGACATTAAAAGAGCAAGGGCTCATTGATAAAAAGGACACTTTGCAAGCACCATAAAGCAATACTTTTTTCTTTGGCTGGGGGCTATGATGGCTGTGTGGTACCCATAAGGTAGAAAGCCCTTGGGGGACTATGATGGCTGTGTGGTACCCATAAGGTAGAAAGCCCTTGGGGGGGGGACTATGATGGCTGTGTGGTACCCATAAGGTAGAAAGCCATGAGAAGTAAACATATTTTTTATTCCCATTCAATCAATCTTATAAACACTTTTAAAATCTAAAACTAAACAATGTTCTGTCGTAGTAACATTTAACACAATTTTTTTTAGCCGAGGCATAGCGGCTCACAGAACGGCTCTGAGTTGAGATCTAATTAGAGTTTTGGATTCAGAAAGTCAAACCCTTTAGATTGGTGTATTTGACCACGCCCAAGGTCTCGTACATAAATTTACTCTAATCCTGCTTAAAATAATTTTTATTTGAGGGTAGGCTGGTAGAGAAACACATGAGTAATAAAATGGATATTGTTGGATCCCAAAAATATAGCTAATAAAAAGGAAAAAATGTCTGGCAGATTAAGTTACTCTAATCGTGTTTTAAAGAATTTAAAGTGCCGCGGCTATTGAGGATTCACTTTTGTTTGTTTTTACTGTAAAGACCTACAACTCCCTGTGTGCCATTCATTTTAAAGTTGGGAGCTTTTTTGTGGACAATTTTTTATGGCTAAGAAAAATGGCACTTTTAGAGCATGAGAGGAGAAAGTGAGGAGCTTCAGTCCACCCAGCCACCCCTCATGTGCACGTCACTGGAGATCTTGCCAATAATCTAGCTGTAAGTACGTATGTGAATGTTACCTTCAGAACTGTAAGGTACACATTAGAATGAAGTGTCATCAGTGGAAGTTTAGCTGCTCAAATCCCACCGCTTAGAAGAGATTGACAGACCAAAAAGGCTGAAATTCAAATTTGTTTTCAACAGCTAATGATAATCTGTTCGATAGCAGGGAAGAGCACACTATCGTGGTCGTTTTAGATTTACAGTAAAGTATGCTTGGAGGCAAATACAAGCGCCGGTTTCATCTCAGCCAATATACTATTAGACACCTACAAGAAATCGATATCTTTCTTATTACTGACTAGTACAAGCAAATTCTCACAAGGATTCACCTACCGCCAAGAAAATGAATCAACACGTGCAACAAATGTGGTGAAACGATACCTGGATGTGAAAGAAAACCGCTGGAACATTTGCAACCATGGTTTAGTCTGAGCTCATATGGAAACTAAGATAATCAAAAGTCTACCAAGTAACAATTGAATTATGGGAAGTAATAAAGAACACTTTAAACAATATTTCGCAACAATAATAATATCATACCTTGGTAAATTTATGGTAGCATTACAACAAAGTGTGTTGCTCAATTGAAATCAAATACAAAATACTAGTACATTGTACAATTTTTTTTTCTGTAATTATGTACGCACTAACGATAAATTTACTATTTTTGACGCTAGTGTGCATATCACCTACACGCTTCCATAATTATTTCCAATTCGGTATAAATATTAGTTTCAAAATAGATTTTTTATATGATCTTACTTCCATAGTATCGGCATTAATAAAATTATATATTTGTCTTATATTTTCAAAAAATAAACCTTATTCATCAGATTCCTATGTATAAATGATAACTTGAATCTTAGTTGGCCGCGCGATAGTTGAAATGACACATTTTAAGTGAGATACTAGAACTTAGTTTTTGAAGTTGTGTTTCTATATTTTCGATAAATAATGAAGCAACAATTAATTATCTTAAAAACTACCGAAAACCTTACGGTGTAGTTAATAATTATGACCTAGTTTTTAAACAATGAGTTATTTAGGTAAGGTGGGTGTTTAAGAAACTTTTCCTTGCTGTTTAAAGATAATAATAAAATCGCTAAATACTCATTAGTTATAGTTTGTACCTTGTTCTCCTGCTTTTACGTTAAACTAGACAAGTATCCCACGTCCCTATGAAAGTTTAGGGACAGATAAGGAAATAATGCATAGACTTACATGGCTTTGGTTAATAATGGAACAGGAGGCAAGTCTTGAGTAGCTGTAATCATACCAGTTAACACAGAAGTAGCTATAAAAAAAAATAGCCAGATGAGCGCCCCCCATCGGAGATCTCTGTTAAAAGAAAATAATTGTGATGAAATAAATAAGAAATACATACTGATAAGTTAAACTCAATACTCAGCTTGCCATAAAAATAAATACGACACACACTGGGTAGCTTCGAAACGTTACGGGAAATATTATCTGTGCTTATTTATTTAAAGTAATTTTATACAAAAGATTGCAATACCAAACCAAGAGTTTAACATTTCATTATTTTATTTAATTAACAAAAAATACAAAACTCCCGACAAGTTTGGATTAATTTGCCATTCTCAAGCCTTGCCTGTCGAAACTAGTTTCGTTTTACCAACAAAGGGTGGAACTGGCTATCACATTATAACACTCCCACGACTGAAAGGGCGAGCATGTTCGGTAACGGGGTTTCGAGTCCGCGACCCACAGATTGCGAGTCGAGCGACGCAAACACCAGGCCCTGTCGAAACTAGCCGGGAGTGTTATTTGTATTTTTTTTATGTTTTGTTAATTATTTAATCATTCGTGCATTATTATCCTGGTGTGCTATAATTGTTTTATTGTTGTTTTTATCATCTTTAGTTTTCCGTAGTGTTTAACTCTCGTTAGTGTTTAAATAATTTATAATTTTCTTAACGGAATCACAGCTTATTGCTATGTTTTATGAAGATATATTATGAAATTCTTGTCGTACCTGTAAAGTGGATAAATTATTAATGGCGAAACGAGATAAAACTGGAAATCCACAGCCGTATACCACGAATGGCTCAAACACTGAAAAAAAAAGATAAAAAGAAGAATGAAGGAATAACGCCTGTAAATCTTGTTTCACTGGAAAGCAGCAAAGTATTGCAGAAAGGTAGTTTTAATGTAGTGATTTTTCTATGCTACACTACTGATCTTGGTTTCACTGTGAAACAATGCGTGTGTTAAGTCAACACACTGGCACTAGTTTTATATTCTGCCTCGAACCAGTCTTCAAAGGAATAATATCTAATAAACTATCTGTCTGCACATCGACACGTTGTCCATTATAAGTCGAAACATCACGTTGTCGAACAATATTCAATAAACTATCTGTCTCAGCATTGACTCGTTGTACCTTTTGTAAGTTGAAACATCACGTTGTCGAACAATACGTTTAAACTATCTCAATATCGGTGATGTTTCGACTTACAAAAGGTACAACGAGTCAATGTTGAGACAGATAGTTTATTGAATATTGTTCGACAATGTGATATGTGTGTGTTGTTCTACTTTCAAAGCAACAATGTATTTTTGAAATTTTACTATATAAATACACACATACACAAACACGGTTTATATTTAGTATGAATATCTAACGAGTCACAAACATATATATATACAATAGCAGAACTAACTACGGAAAAAGTGAATAAAATGGGTATAAAATGCAAATATTACAGTATCGCTTCCACTCTATTGTGTTTGTATCCATAAAAGTATTATAATTAGTTATATTTGTCATACGACAGTAGTATTAGGCTTATTGTATTTTTAACATTATATTCTTTATGTATATTATATGAGAAGAATAGTGTATAATAGTATTTCAACCACACTATATTCGTCATATCCATCGCTTTCGACGCGTTTCGCTTAATACCAGAGCTCATCAGTCCGATTGAGATAAACTATTTATGTAAGCCGTGAATACGGCGGAAATGGAGTCGTTGAAATAATATTATAGGCTCTTCTTCTCGAAAAAAAAAACCGTACGAGACGGTCGAGACTTTACAAAGACTGTAGTTTTAAATATACAGCAAACCTAATACTATTGTTTTGCTACAAACATATGTTATTATAATTAAACTTATCCAACAAAGAAGTTTATGACGTAACAATTAATAATCTCACCATATTGTCTGTGTTGATGAAATTCTGTAAATAGAGGGCGTTTAACCACCAGTTTTTCTTACACCAAGAGTCGTACATCTGAATGGTATCAAGACACTCAGGACCTCCTACCAGATAACGCAAAAGTACGGCAGAAAAGACAATGATGATCATCATTAACGGCGTCATGCTGTTAATTATATATATACATATATATAAGTCAAACACAACAATGTTGAATTCAGACTTATCTATTTAACTCAATTTTATATACAAAAAAAAAATGTTTAGGGCCAGTATATTGCATTTACCTTTTTTTTTCTTCAAATGACAAGAAAGAAGTCTCATTCCAAATTAAATATTTTACGGCATAATTTAAAAACTGGCTTTTTGTATGATTATTCTTTTTGAATTTCGCGTAAAGCTACACGAGGGCTATCTGCGCTAGCCGTCCCTAATTTAGCAGTGTAAGACTAGAGGGATGACTAGTCATCGCCACCCACCGCTAACTCTTGGGCTACTCTTTTACCAACGAATAGTGGGATTGACCGTAACATTATAACGCCCCTACGCCTGAAAGGGCGAGCATATTTGGTGTGACGGGAATTCGAACCCTCGACCCTCAGATTACGAGTCGAGTAACCACCTGGCCGTAACCACCTGGACATGCCGGGTTAGTTGTATGATTAAAATAAATATATTACAAATTATTGTTTCTAGCATGACAATTTAACATAATTTGGTATAGATTCCTGAGTCTTAAAAGGTTTTGACAAAACCAAAACTACAAGACTGAGTGGCTCCAAGACAGCTGCTTTGATTTATTTCCGAAAATTCATCAAAAAAAAAAAAAAAAAAAA